CTGCCACCTAATTCTGACACAGATTAGGAGTTAGCTCAGACTTGGCAGGTGCAGGGCACCATCTTCCTCCACAAGCTCTGGGGTTCCAGGCTACCTATGCTACCCACATACTGTACAAATTTGAGGGGTTCCCACTCCCCCTTGGGTTCCATTAGTCACTGGGTTGACTCATTGAACTTGGGAAAATGATGTACTTAGGATTACAGATTTATTGTAAAGGAATACAAATCAGAGCCAGATAAATGACTAGATGCATAGGGCAAGGCCTGGGAGGGCCCCAAACAGGAAGCTTCTTTGTCCTCACTCCTTACCTGGCAGCATATCAATCAATATATAAGGACCAACCGGGAAGCTTACTGCAGCTTCAGTGTCCGGGAGGTTTTTATCGGGTTTCAGTACACAGACATGGATGATTGAATCATTGGCTCCAGCCTCCCTTTCTTTCCTACTTGGGACATTTCAAGGGTTTAGAGGTTATCTCCCAGAAGCCAGGGACAAATATCAGCCAAATTCTTTATTATACAACCTATGGAAATTTCAGTAAATTGAATAGGCAGAAGGGGAGGGAGGAGGCCAAAAAAAGCATTTCAGGAAGTGGGAGGTGGTGTCTAAAAATAAAGAGGCAGAAATAAGTGTGGTACAGTCAGGGTACAGTAGAAAGACCTCTTAGCTGATCAGCTTTGCTATATTGGAATGTGCCAGCCTTGAAGTTGAAGGACTGGGGCTGTCCTTGGGTCTGCTATTCGATAACTATGGTGCCATCTTGTGGGAATATAGGGATCATTGTAAGCCAGCTTGAATCCTTTCTCCGAGAGGGGGACATAATTTAAATACACACACAATTTAGTAGATTAAAACAACAAAAATAGCTGAAACTGGTTTGGCTCAGTGAATAGAGCATTGGTCTGTGGACTGAAAGGTCCCAGGTTCGATTCTGGTCAAGGGCATGTACATTGGTTGTCATGTTCTTTTGATCAAAGCAAGTCACCAGGCCAGTCCAAATTCAAGGGGAAGGAGAATAAATTCCGTATTCTGATGGGAGGAGCAGCATGTTGCATGTGTATACAGTGAGGGAAGGAATCATCATAGCTGTTTTCAGAGACTTTACCATATTCTCTGATTCCCAGCTTACTCATATGAAAATGTCTATTATCTCCTTCAACTAGATTAATGAGATTAAGACACATGATGTATAATTGACAGCATTTTATAAATTGTAAATTGCTAAACAAGTACAATCTAACCTAATGTAACCTATTAATGGAGCATTATGCAAATTAACCATCACTCCGCTACACAAGCCATGCCCACCAGCCAATCAGTGAGTATGCAAATTAACCCAGAGATGATGGTTAATTGCATATGCAGAATGAGGGAGGAGTGAAGACTGAAGACAGCATAGAAGGAAGAGGAAGGGAAAGCGGAAAACAAGGTGGCTGAGACTGCTGGAGGGAAAGCACTGGCAAGTGTGTGCCGGGTGGGGCAGGGTGAGGTGCACAGGGCCGCAGAATTGGTGGCAGAGGTGGTTGCTGCCACAGTGGGAGAGGTGAGAGTGGAGGGAGGGAACTCATCAGGCTTAGGCTTTATGCTTGGGAAGGGGCCGAGCCTGGGATGGCAGGTTCCGGGTGGCGAAGTGACAACCCCTTCCCAAGCCTAAAGCCTGAGGTGGAGGCTTTAAGCTTGGGGAGGTGCTGAGGGGAACCTCTTGCCAAGCCTAAAGCCTGGGGCAGAGGCTTTTGGCTTGGGAAGGGGCTGAGCTTGGGATTGGAGGGAAGGGGAAAATATCAATGGAAACATATCCTCAGGTGAGGATAAAAAGAAAAATAAAGAAAGAAATGTTATATCCTATGAAAGAAGAATCTTGAAAATGCTTAAAGAAAGTTGTCATTTTTTCATGGTGAAGGGACTGGAGTCTGTGTTGATGAAAATACCTTGGTGGCTGTGCTGACTGGCAGTGGCTGCAGTAGCAGGTGATGGGGCTGGCGCCTTCCCCTAATCAGCCTGGTTGACTCCCGCAAAGGGAGACCAGACTGCGGCTTAGGTTCACTGCCAATGGGGAGCGGATTTAATCTATCAGTAGGACATCCTCTGAGGGCTCCCAGTATGTGAGAGGGGAATTGAGGGACCCCTCTCCAGTGCACGAATTTTGTGCACTGGGCCCCTAGTATATTATAGTGGTGGGTGATAAAGGTAGATTGGAAGAACAAGAGATTATAAAAGGAGATAGATTGTAATAAAATTTATTGAGCATATACTATATGCCAGGCATTGTACTAAATGTCTTACAAGTATTTTCTTTAAATCACCACAGCAAACCTTAAAAGATGGGTATTTCATTTTATTTTACAGGAAAGAAATTCCAAGTGAGTGGCAGAGCCAGAACTGGTACCCAATTTTGTTTGGTTCCAAAGTCTTAACTACTATACCCAGAGTTTTTTTAATCACTTTTATCTAATCAATCTGCAATTGGATAAGGGGGGATAGCAGCTATCCATAAATACTGAAACAATTTTTTTAGAGGCAGAACTCATAATCTGCATTTTTAACAGCTAGTTTATGTGGGAGAAACATTCAACCTCACTGTACACTACGAAGACCAGCTCAGAGGAAATGTAGGATTGCAGGTGCAGAAGAAAAGTGTCTAGCTATTGGGAGAATAATTATGTTTTCTAGAGGCTAATACTAAAGCTGGTAAATGAAAGTAAGACTAGAAAAGTTAAAAGTCAGACCCAACAACTTGCAAATAACTGAATTTATATTTATTTATTGACTCATCAATTTTTATTTTTTTTGCCTTTTTGCCTTTGGGCTTATTATTTCCTGTGCTAGAAAACCCCAATTTCCTTTACCCTCCTCCTGCCAACGTGGCTAATATTTATTCATTTGGGGACTGATGAGAGATGTGTGCCTTTTTTGAGAAGTTCTTTCTGACCATCCCCCACCCCCAGTGGTTCCACATGTGTGCTGTGCCTTCTTCCATCCTATCATTTAGGCCCTAAATTTTGGTTTGTGTGCCTCCTACAGCACTAATCAGGAGAACCTTGTATAGGAAGAGGGGAAAAAAGGAGAGATTACTAGGTGTATTGGTTAATAATTCAGATTTTGTGATCAAAGAAAACATGATAATTTCAAGAGAAACATCAAAGTAATGTCCATCGCTAGCTGCACGCTTCTCCCATCTTTCAGGTAACTTGTGGATACTGTCCCAATAGAACTTTTCTTGTTTTGAGGCAAGCCATTCAGAGACCCAATTTTCCACTTCATACGTTTTGAAGTGCTGTTCAGAAAGTGCACGTGCCATCGATCAGAACAAGTGGTAACCTGAAGGAGCAAGATCTGGTGAATACAGCAGGTGGGTTAATACCCTGTTTCCCCGAAAATAAGACAGTGTCTTACATTAGTTTTTTCTCCCAAAGTTGCACTAGGTCTTATTTTTAGGGGATGTCTTATCTTTCCATGCACTAGGTCTTATTTTCGGAGGATGTCTTATTTTCGGGGAAACACGGGTACTTCCCAGGCAAGATCTTTTAACGTGTCTTGAACTGGTTTTGAAGTGTGTGATGGTGCATTATCATGAAGCAAAATTACTTTGCTGTGTCTTCTGGCACATTCTGGTCATTTCACAATCAAAGCGTAATTATTTGTTGTCAGTACCGATCAGTATTAACGGTTTCACCTGGTTTTAGAATCACCACAATTTCCTGATCCCACCAAATGCAGATCATTGTCTTTCTGAAGTTGATGTTGATGGTTGACCTGGATCAACCCATGATTCTGTGAATTAGTGATTCTCAAAATAAACCCACTTTTCATTGCCACAGTTCAATGCAAAAAAGACTTTCTTTCTTGCTATTGAAACAACATTTTACTGATGACTTTTCGGTTTTCTATTTGTCTTTCATTCAGTTGATGTGGCACCCATTTTCCTTCCTTTAAAATCTTTCCCATTGCTTGTAAACTATCGGAAATTGTTTGCTGAGCAACGTTTAATCTTTCTGCAAGTTGTTTTTGAGTTTGACATGCATTTTCATCCAATAATACTTGTAATTGTTGTCTCCAAACTTTTTCGGTTGACCTGGTTGTTCTTTATCTTTCATATCAAAATCATTACTCTTAAAGCATTTAAACCAGTATTCACAAGTATTTTGAGATGAAGTATGTTCACCATAAGCTTCCCAGAGTATACGGTAACTTTCAGCAGCATTTTTCTTCAAAATAATGAATTAAAACTTCCAGCAAATGCTTTTTTTTTGGGGGGGGGGGGGACCACAAATTTTGACATTTTTAAGTGCAAAAATATCTATGATGTTAACACCTTCAGCCAATTTGACATATGAAGCTTTGAAGCTTGCTGTCAGTACAACAAAGTAGCACATATATCAACATATGTGTAACTCCATCTCTTGAAAAAAAAGTCTGCATTATTAACTGGTACACCTAGTAAGAGATGGTTCTTAGAAGAACCACTGGATGAACAGGAAATGAAAAAGCCACTGCAAAGTTGCACAGTGTTTGTACTTTGAACAAGCGTGGACTTGTTGAGACTAGAAGATGAACTTTATTGAGTTTTACCAAATGGCAGCAGTTTGATACAGGGCTGCCCCATAGATATCTCTTCATGACCAGGACAATTAAAAGCAACCTAGAAAGCCCAACACTTCAATAATTAACTTAGCCCTTATAACAGCTGGTTTAAATTTTGTAACTACAAGAACAGATTTTTTTCTTTTTTCTTTTTCACGTGGGCACAAATGAGCCCGATAAATGATTTGAACAAATTGCTTAAGGCACCTTCCAATCCGGGCAGCACCTGCCCCAATCTAACATGGCGGCATGGGCTTCCTCAGTCACATCCCCAGTCACACTGCTGGGCCTTAATGCAGCTGGGAACGTTAGACTCCGCTGCCCGTCGCGCTATGATGACGTCGCACCCGCGCCTGGGAACCGGGAGGGCAAGTTCGCGCAGGCGCAGCGCGGCCGCGGTGGGCGGAGCTGGCGGGATGAGTGGCGGCGGCGCGGAGGCCGCTGTGGGTGGTGAGGCCCCCGCGGCGGGCGGCCACAAAAAGAAGGACTCGCTGGGGACCGCGGGCTCGCCAGCGCACCTCATTATCAAGGGTACGGAGTGAAGGGGACATCGCCCTGGTGGGTGCCAGGGCAGCCTCCCCTCCCCGGCGGCGCCCTCTGACCCGGGGGGTGGCGAGGCGACCGGGTGTGGCCGCGCCCCCTAGTTCTCTGCTCTCCCAGGAAGGACCAGCCCCATCTCTCTTACTTCCTCAGGGACAAAACCTACTCGGGAGCCTCCTCCCCTCCCCAAGCCCGGACCCCCGGCGCCGTGCCTCCGTGGGCGCGGCGCGCGGCCCCCGGCGGTGAGGGGACTCGGAGCCGGAGGGGCTGGGCTGCGGAGCGGGGGTGTGGGGAGGTGGTTGGCTTTACCCCCTCCAGCTCTGTCTGCTCCTGCTCAGGCGGGAGCTAATGAGATCAACGTTGAGAGCGTCTGCGAACAGGAAAGCTCCAGACACGGGTACAGAGGTCCATTTGGTCCCGTGTGCTTCGAGCTGGGAGCTTACAGCCTATGGATCCTCACAGAAGCTGGGTTTAGAGTCCAAAGCGCACAACCGTGTTTCCTGCAACAAGATCTTTGCCAGTTTCTCATCGCCAGTGCTCTTCACCCCTTCCCTACCCTGTCAGCCCCGCCACATTGCGATGCTGGAGAAGCCCTCGTAGGGTTCCTGAGCGCTTCAGCACCCCCGAGGCACCCCCCCCCCCCCATGCCGCCTATTTCATTTTAACCTTAGCTGCTGTGATTGTAGAGTGCAGGAGTGGGGCATAGGTGTTAGGGCTACATTGTAATTGTTTATATGTGTAATCCTAGTGAACTACCACTTAATATTTTTTGTTGTTGTAGTAAAATACATCGTAACCAATTTTCTTAACCACTTTTAAGTGTGCAGTTGAGTGGCGTTAGTACATTCACATTGTGCAGCTGTCACATATCTTCCCAAAGGCTGTACTCATTCAACACTAACACCCTGCAGCTTCTAGCAACCACCATTCTATCCTGTCTTTGAGGACTACTGTTTGTCATTTTGTGATTGGCTTATTTGACTTACCATCCTCAAGTTTCACCCATGTGTCAGAATTTCCCTTTTCTTTTTCTCTTTAAAAAAAAAAAAAAAAAAAAAAAAAATATATATATATATATATATATATATATATATATATATATATATATAATTGATTTTTTTACAGAGAGGAAGGAAGAGGGATAGAGAGTTAGAAACATTGATTAGAGAGAAACATTGATCAGTTGCCTCCTGCACACTCCCACTGGGGATGTGCCCACAACCAAGGTACATGCCCTTGACTGGAATCAAATCTGGGATCCTTCAGTCTGTAGGACAATGTTCTATCCACTGAACCAAACCAGTTAGGGCAGAATTTCTTTTTTAAAGCTAAGTAATATTCTGTTGTATGTATGTATGTATACACACCACATTTTGTGTATCCATTTATTTATGGGTGAACACTCCAGTTGCTTCCACCTTTTGTTATTGTGACTATGGGTATGCACATTATGTTTGAGTCCCTGCTTTCAAATTTTTTTGAGTATATACCTAAAACTGGAATTGCTGGGTCAACGATAATTCTGTCTTTTAATTTTTTGAACAATCACCATGTTTTTTTTCCATAGAGGTTTTATGATATTACAGTCTCACTAACTGCACAAGCATTCCAGTTTCTTCACATCCTCACCAAAGTTTGTCATTTTCTGTTTCCTTGCTAGTTCCTCCTAATGGGTATGAGGTAGTATCTTGTAGTTCTGGTTTTCATTTCTCTAATATACAGTGTTGTTCACATCTTTATGTGCTTAATGGCTATTTGAATAGCTTCTTTGGAGAAATGTCCATTTGAGTGTTTTGTTGTTGTTTTAGTTGTATGAGTTCTTTATTCTGGATATTAACCCCTTTTCAGATACATGATTTGCGTATATTTTCTATTCATGGGTTGCCTTTTCATTTTGTTGATTGCATTCTTCGATGTACAGAACTTTTTAAAATTTTAATTTACTTTTTAAATAAAGATAATTCAAGGGAAGTTTTCCAAGTTAATCCAGAATTGAGATGCAATTGAAAATATGTCTGAATAGCCTTGGCTTTTTCAATGGAACCATTCATTCTTTTCATTCTAAAAAATCTATTTTTAGTTCATCTTATTTGAAGACTGTCAATTGTGAACAGATATTTAATTTTGTTGCTAGAGTCTAGTGAAAGGGAAGTATATAAATAAATGATTTCAATACTTATGTCCTGGGTCTTTGGGGGTTTCTGGCCCTTAGGTGGGTGTTAGGGGTGGGGACTGGGAGACAGGAGCATCTTCCTGGAGGATGGGGTGTCTGACCTGAGTCTTGAGGAATAAAGTATTGGCCGTTAACAAAAGAGGGCAAGGTATTTTGGACTTTCAAACACCATCAGCAAAGGCGTGTGGCCTACAGCAGCAGCAGTGTCTGGGAAATGAGGTGGAGTTCCATGGAAATCAGACCTTAGAAGACTTTCTCTTCAATGGCAGGAACTGTCCAATAATAAGTGTGAGAATCATGTGATTAGATTTGTATTTTAAGTAAAGCACTTGGGCAGATAATAGTTGGTCCTCATCTTACGGATTGCATATTTCTGAGTTTGTCTGTTTGCTAAGATAAATTCATAACTCCAAAATCAATGTTGGTGGTGCTTTCGTAGTCATTCCCACATAGGCAGAGGAGAGAATCTTCTCCCTCTACTGCCCCCACCCAAATCTTTACTATCTTAAATTCATGGTTTTAGAAGTGATCATTAGCTACTTCCAAACAATTTAATCATCTCACCAAAAGGTTAAGTAAAGTCCCATTATATCAGGCCACAGAAATAGATCTCCCAAAATCAACAAAGCTTAATGACTTCTAGTCACATAGAAAAATGTTAATTCATTTATGCACTCTGGACACATAAATAATTTGGTCTCGAAGATGCTTGCTGGAGGAGAGAGATAATTTTAGTAAGTGATATGATGGAAATATATGCGCTGGGTGCTTTGGGAAAATACAATAGGGATATTCCTTGAAACCTAAAGGAAGCTGGATAGAATTAGTGAAAATTTTAAAGAAGTTCGGTGTCTGAGCAGTTTTGAAGGAAGAGCACAGGGATTAGGGGATTGGGGAATTGTTCCAGGTGATGACAATAGTATGAACTGTGGCAAGGATGCATGAGGCAACATGGTGTGTTTGGAAAACTGCAGGTAGTTCAGAATTGCTGACAGGTGAGGTGATGAGGCTGGAGCCAGACCATGGAGGCCCTTATGTGGCTTCTAAGGAGCTTGGAATCTATCATAGTCTCTTACCCAGACACTGGTGGTTATTGAGATGTGAATAAGTTCAATTGTCAAATTAGGTCCATAAATTTCTGCATAGCGTAGTCCTCACTTGGGCATTCATAGTTCATGTCTGTATGCTATAGAGTCCCAGAAAATGGAAGGTAAAGGCGTCTAATTTGATTTTCTCTGTTTCTCAAACTTAACTAAGTAGAATTTTAAAAAAAATTAAGTCCTAGTATCTTCCCAGAGAACTGTTTTAGGTAATGAATCATTGAATGATTTAAGCAAAAGTAGTACTTTTACTTATATATTTTTACTTAGCATACTTTCCACAATGTATCCCAATAAAACTCATTAAAATAGAGACTTGAAATTTACCCTGTTGCATATCTGTAAAAATAAGAAACTTGAGGAACAGATTATAACAATGAGTGGAACATGTTCTTATTTGGAGATTTAATTCCTCTAGGAATTTTGAGGTTTACCCTTTAAACTATGTAGTTGTTACTAAGTAGAATGAATAGAATGACTCACCCAAAACAGTTAAAATTCAGAACTTTTTTCTTTAATTATGTCTTTTTCAGACCCATTAAAAAATTCAGAGACTTATAATGAACACTGACCCACCGTCTTACTAAGTAAACATTAAAAGACGACTGTGTGGGATGAATAGAGCACAAAGGTTTTTTAGAGCATGAAACTATTCTATATACTACAGTGTTGAATACATGTCATTATACATTTTTCAACACCGAGAGTGGATCCTAATGTAAACTGTTTACTATGAGTGATAATAATGTGTCAATGTAAGTTAATTGATTGTAACAAATGAACCACTGTGGTGCAGGTATGTTGATAAAGGGATTATGGATATGTGGGGGTGAGAGGTATAATGGAACTCTGTGATTTCTGCTTAATTTTGCTATGAGCCCAAAGCTGCTATTAAAAAATAATTTTTTTTTATTAAATTTTTTAAAAGGGGGACCACTGTGTATCTTGCTCAGATAGCATTCTTCTCCCTCCTCTAAAGATAATCACTGCCTTGAATTTGGTATTTATTATTCTCATACATTTCTTTGTAGTTTTATTTCTTCTGTATGTTTCCAAAAAGGAAGTATCATTTTGTATATTTTTAAAGTTTATAGAAATAGCTTTATCCTGTGACCTTTTTGTGTACAACATTATATTTGTAGAATTTATTCATGTTCATAAATGTAACTCTAGTGTATTCATTTTACTTGCTGATGTATAGTACTTTGTCATGAATATGTTTAGGTTATTCCCTTTTTTCTTTTGACATCACACTCATTTATAAGAGTCTCTTAATAAGATACGATTTCCTCTTAATCCATTGTCTAAACTAGATTTTAAAATTCATATATTTGTGGGAAATAGAAAGACTAAAAACAAGCTAGAGATTGTGCCACTTAACATGGATTCACCTTGAATTTTATTTTGTCTTTATAGATCTTGGAGAAATTCATTCAAGGCTGTTAGATCACAGACCGGTTATTCAGGGTGAAACCCGTTATTTTGTGAAAGAATTTGAAGTGAGTATTTAAAATTTATTTTGTAAAAATACTGTCCTAATAGTGATTTTCATATATGGAAGGGACATTCTCTAGTTTTAAAGTTTCTGATTTCTGTTCATGGTTCATAAAACCTATAAAGCTTTAATAGTAATAGTAATAATTCTTAAGGAGCATAGGACTAGGCGGTAGGTGACTTGGGCTCAGGTTCTGTGTCCTACTCTGGCATATTTAATGTCTACTAACCTCAGTTTTTTTCATCTATGCAGTGACATATAGTGGGGAAAAAAGGTGTGTTTTGTTATTCTTGTTTTAATATATTTTATTGATTTTTTTACAGAGTGGAAGAGAGAGAGATAGACAGTGAGAGAGAAACATCGATCAGCTGCCTCCTGCCACTCCCTACTGGGTATATGCCTGCAGCCAAGGTACATGCCCTTAACCGGAATTAAAACCTGGGACCCTTCAGTCTGTAGGCCAACGCTCTATCCACTGAGCCAACTGGTTAGGGCAAAAAATAAAAGGTTTTAAATACTGATTGGTCTAGGTTTTTCAGGCCCATTTTTTATATTTTTTTCTCAGTTGGGGCATCAGCACTCACCTAAAGCACTCAAGTTAAAACATGATAATTATCCTTAGCTATTCTCTCACCTTTAGGGCCCGTATTTAGTGACCATGTCTTTTGGATGCTACCTCATAAACCTCTAATCCTTCTGACTTGTGTGCCTGCTTTATCAATCCAGTAAAATTCAGTCTTTTCCCCTTGCTAGAGTGCTCTGACATAACTCTTTTATAATGTTTGTCATCTATAGGATAAAATCCAAACGTCATTTTGTAACCTATTCCCTACTTTTCTGGCTTAACCATCTGCCATCCCACCTTGTATGGTATGTTCTGGCAATACTGATACACCAACCCACTATCCTATTTCATGTTACCGTTGGTTTATGCATCTGTAATTGGTTCATTGTGCATTAAATCTCAACATCTCAAGCTACTTTTGGATAGATGGTAAATGATGTTACACAAACAATTTTGTGATTCTGGGTAAGTTGGGGTTTATTTTCAAATGAGACTCCAAACAAGTAGGAAGTCTAAACCTGTCAAAGGAGAAAACCTTTTCATAAACCACTTATCACTACAAAAAAGCCTATGGTGCAGAGCAACAACAATTGAGAGACAGCACTGCAGCATTAGATACCATTTCTGAGTTCAACAGACTCTGTTACTCAAAATCTGCCTATATCTACCTCAAAGTGTTGTTGTGAAGATTAAAGGGGTGTGTATGTGCAAGTATGCACATGTCTGTATGTGTGTGTTTTGGAATACTATCTGGTACCTACGGTAGGGATAACTGTTAGCTATCTTCATTATTATTGTTGTGGGATAACAATGTGGAAAACTCATATAATTACCCAGAGACTATTCCCTTATCATACTATATAAAGATTATCACCAATTCTTTGGTGAGATTAAAGTAGATTAAAGTAGTGAGAGTAAAGCCTGGCTGTGTTCTCTGCTCAGTCTCTCAAAGCTGTGATCAAGACTGTTCTTATTTGGGGCTCTGGGTTCTCTGCCTAATTCACATGATTGTGGCAGGACTCACTTCTCTGCTATGGTGGAATAGGTTTCCCTGCTTGCTGTCAGTCAGGGGCCCCTGTGAGCTACTAGAAGCCACTCACATTCCTTGCCACAGGGCCCCCTCCATCTTCAAAGCTGTCAATGGAGTCTCCGTCAAATGGAATCCTGTCGTGCTTGCTAAGAGGAGTCCAGTCCCTATTAAAGACTCGCCTGATTTAAGTCATTGAGATAACTTCTCTTTTTTTAAAGTCAATTGATTTGGGACCTAAAATATATCTTCAGAATATCTTCAGAGCAGCACCTAGACTAGGGCGTGATTGCATAACTGAGAGAATGTGTGTGTATACTAGAGGTGGAGTCTCAGGGGCCATCTTAGAATTCTGCCTACCATAAGCTCTCATAAATACCTGATAGTTTTCTTGTTATCTACTTGCTTATTACCTGACTTCCTTCATTAGAATATAGGCGCCATGAGAATAAGGACCTATTGTTTTTATTTTCTGTTGTATTCAAAATGCCTAAAATAAGCCTGCTGCATTGTGAATGCTTACTATGATTCAAAAGAGTAATTAGCAAAACTTGGACTAAAACTTGGGTTTTCGACATTCAGTGATATCACCAATCATCTTTTTCATAAGTCATCCTTTTTTGCCAGTATGGTTAAGTACTAAATAGTTATTATTTAAAAAATTTTAGATATACCTTTAAAAACCTACTTTATATGTATATTTTTAATATTATTTGTTGATTTTAGAGAGAGAGAAATATCTATTTGTTGTTCTACTTATTTATGCTTCTTGTATGTTCCCTGACTGGTGATTGAACCTGACACCTTAGTGCAGTGGTCGGTAAACCGCGGCTCGTGAGCCACATGCGGCTCTTTCGCCCTTGAGTGTGGCTCTCCCACAAAATACTACATGCGGGCGTGCACATACAGTGCGATTGAAACTTCGTGGCCCATGCGAAGAAATTGGTTTTTATCCTCGGCGAGTATATTTTGAAGAAGTGGTTCTAATGCCGAGCCACACTCAAGGGGCCAAAGAGCCGCATGTGGCTCGCAGCTGCGGTTTGCCGACCACTGCCTTAGTGTATCGGTAACTGATTGAGCTATCCAGCCAGGGAGATCTACTTCATAGTAAAAGAAGTATAGATTTTTGGCATAATGGTGAATTCTCTAATTCAATTCCCTCACTGGCTAATTATCCCAAGAATACAGGTGTCATATTTTAAATAATGTAGATGTTTTCTATGAAATGAGTCTTGAATGGAATGAAAGAAGTGTTACATTTATGCTGCTGAGTATGTCTATTCAAGAGCTCACTTCCTATTAAAGCGATACCTCTTTTAACTAGGATGGAACATAGTTGCCAGGAGCATGTTCGAAAGGAGAGGAATTATAGTCAGTCAGTCCTCTGTATCCATAGGTTCTGCATCTGCACATTGAAAATATTCAGGAAAAAAATTAAGTTGTTGGTGTGTATTAAATAGTTAAGCCTATGATGGTTGTGTCTATATTGAACATGTACAGACTTTTTTTCTTGTCATTATTCTCTAAACAGTGCAGTATAACAACTATTTATAAAGCATTTACATTGTGTTATGTATTTATTATAAGTAATCTGGAGATGGTATAAAGTTTATGGGAGGATGTGCTTAGGTTATTAGGTTACATGGATGAACTATGCCATTTGATAGAAGAGACTTGAGTGTTCTGGGTATTTGGTATCTGCAGGGGTTCCTGGAACCAGTCCTTCACTATACCGAGGAACAGCTGTATCTACACTCTACATTGTTGCCCTTAAAATCTTTTTAGAGAAGAAGCTGTGATAAAGAGTAGAAAATACATGGGCCTTGGAGCTTGACATATCTAAGTCCAAGTCGTGGCACTCTTCTTACTAGTTATGATTACTTGCTTTACTGAGGCTTAGTTTCCTATTTTTAAAAAAATGGGAATAATGTATACTGCGGAAGTTTTGTGAGCATTAAATAGAACATCTTTTTTAAAAATCCCTGGTATATAGGTATTAGACAAATGTTGGTAACTTATTAAGAGAAAGTGGTAGCAAGTATAATCAAATAAACATGTATTAATTCAGAATTTATAATAATTTTTATGAATTTGGGTTCAGTGTTTGATGTCTTAGGAAGAATAGGGATTTGCTAAACAAGTGCTATTGGCATTACCCAAGGAATATGTTTACTAAAAAATAAAATTTCACCCTGGGCATGATAGGTACAATGCTATAGAAATGTTTTAAAGCCCTTATTTTGTGTGAGAAAGAATATCAGAAACTAATACTATATTGTAAATGAGACAGACACAGACCCATCCTTCATGAAGCAAGGCATTCTTTTTTTCTTTTAAAAATATTTTTGTTGAATTTTAGAGGGAGGGAAGGGAGAAGGAGAAAGAGATACATCGACAAGAGAGCGAAATATCAGTCAGCAAAACATGCACCCTACACCAGGGATTGAGCCTGAAACTCAGGCATGTGCCCTGATCGAGGAATCAAACCAGCAACCTTTCAGTGCATGGGTTGATACCCAACCAACTGAGCCATACTGGCTAGGGAAAAAGGCATTCATATATTGTCCTTGAAAAATTGTCTCGGGAGAGCTCAAAAATATTTTCTCAACTAAGTTTGAGCCATTATCTTCAACTAAATATATCTTCTTGAAGTGTACCTGATCCAATCTTTTCACACAGTGACCTCCCCAGTTGGTCTTCCTGAGGTGTAGTGTAGTATGGAAACCTTACATATCAGGCTCTGTTACCTTTTATGTATATTATATTCCTAGCATTTTCCTCAAATTAGAAAAGAAAAGCTAAAAACACTGTAATGACTTTAGAGTTATAAGGATATCCGCATTGTTTACAGTTCTCTTCTATCTTGGTTCAAACAATAACATCCTCCAATTAGTCCATGTGGTCTTCACCCAGATTGCATGGCTGGACAAAGAATGGTGAGCAGAGCTAGCTGTGAGTACTTCCTAGAGGTTTTATCTGCTTTTATACCATTTAAATGTAGTTCACTTTAAGAAAAACTGCCTAGTATTTAAAACTGAAGTTGGTTATAGTTTATATATTTTAAAAAGTTAATGCACATGGCCACAATCATCTTTTTCTTTATAAAATTTTATTTCTAAAAGAGGAGAATAAGTACCACATGGTGGCAGCATTACTTAAATTATTGAAGTTCTATTATAATATTTTATTCTTTCTTTTTGTGTTTGCTAGTTTTCTGGGCAATTGACTCTCTTTCTCCCCACTTTATACAAATCTTTTCTTCCCTTGATTCCAGTGAGCATTTTGAACAGAGATCCCAGTGGGGCCCTCTCAGTGAACATCAGTTTGATAGTGTCTGTGGGTAGAGACATCGTCTTCTGCAACTTTGTCTTTCTAGCCACAAGGAGATGTCATGTCCTCTATCACATAGAAC